TCAATTCCCGTCAATGGTGTTGTTGTTTCTTATTGACCAGAAGGAAATCCTTCCGGTTATGTGGGAGCGACTCCCAAATCCCCTCAAGCATGAGGGGTGGTTTGGGGATCCGACTCCCAAAAATGCAAAAAAAATATTTAAAAAAAAATAAAACATCATTGGATGGCCAACTCCCAAAGTCGGCCATCCATTTGGAAACACGACTCCCATATGACGTTGGACAACCGCATGTGGGAGCCGACAACTAAAATTTGGGAGTCGTTTGTCCAAGCCCCTAGCTAATTTCCTGCAAGTCAGCCACGAATGGAGAGATGTAAAACATTTTGTCACTTTGAATGGGGGAAGGCACAAGTCGGTCAGCTGATTGCGTTTGGATCTAGAAAGGGAGAGCTTCCTTGATGTGAGCTTGACGAGAGTGGCCGAGCACTCGCGGTAGGGTGATCAGGAGCGCGAGGTCAATTGGGAGATAGTTTCAACCAACTGTGAGGGCTGAGTTGAAATACTCACGCTTGTTGCCCTGGGTGATTCCAAGAGCTAGACTCTTCTAGCTACACCAGATGCATAACTAAGAAAAATAGTGTACAAGTGTGTGTAACACTTGGAATGCGGAGTTGTTTGATATTAAGAAAGAAATAATAAAAACTCTTAAGTTTTTATAAAAGGGGGGGCCTGAGTTGCAGGGGTTTTTATGGTGCCCTCCAATGAATCAGGACCTGTTAGAGCAGGGTTATTTTTTATTTACCTGATGATTTGGTCCTTTGTGTAGAAGGAGTATGCCCAGACAATGCCTACCACTGAAGTATTGAGGAAATATTACCTACTTGTACAATTTCCAAGCCAAGTGTCAGCTGGCAAGCAAAACCCAGTTACCCCTTAACTAGTGAACTTAATGTTTTGCTACACCTCCTGCACTTTTATACATTTCACACTCATTTCACTCATTTTCTTATTCATTTCACTCATTTCATTATTAACATACTCTACATATATGCTTGTATCTAGTTGGCCTTGCCAAGTCAGATATATAAAGTTGTACTGACCAAAGTCTATTGTTACCCAGACTTTCAGAAGAGACGAAAATAATAACAAACTTTTATTTCAAATCATCCCTCTTGAGTTTGAAGATACATCAACAAATCACTACTTCAAACTTGCCTGTTCCCTTCACATCACCACATCACTGTACGGAACTCTCAGCCTGAACTTCTCAAAAACTTATCAACGGCTTGGGCGTGAACACCGTGGACCGGATTAGATCTTTCTACGACTTGGAGCCACTGGACGATTCCAGTAAACTTTCATCGAGCAGATCTCATCACCTCGGAGTAACCCACCGTTGACACCAAGGGGGACTTCAGGTTGGTGAAAACTGGTCTGGAAGCACTCAAAAAACTGGGTAAAAGGTGGTGAGACAGTGCTGGGGAAAGGTTGATGGTTGGTTGGTTGAAATTCAGGATGAAAAAAAGCAGGAACTGGGCCAAAAACAGGTGAAAACTGGTTGTTGAAGGTGGTTATTGCTGGTAAGTGATGATGAAGATGGGGAATCAGAGTTTGGGGGAAAGAAGGGCTCCTCATATACTCATTCTGGGCCCTTGGAGGCAAACTCAGAACTCTGTTTGTCTGGTGCAAGCGTCCTACTAGGCATTGGTGACCTGTGGCACTGCCTAGACACCTGTAGTCCTTGGTTACAGGTGTCAGAGGGATGAAGTGAGGCTTGTAACACACACTAAGGGATGCTGTGACAAACCTGAAGCCATGTTTTGGTAACTGAGACCCTTTAATGACCAGTGGGCTGGTCCTAACAAGGCGTAGTTAGCCAAATTGTGCCAAAAAAGGGCCACAAATGGCTTTTGACCAGCCAGTTACAGTTGTTGTGACAATGTAGTTAAGGTTTCAATGATTTCAACCTTATTTGTGGAATTTTCCCAAACTTCAAGAACCTTAATTACATGTTTAGACCTGTCACAACATGTAGTATGATGGAACTGGGAGGGTTTCTAGCAAAATGAGCAAGTGTCACTCAGAGTGCACAGAAGTACATGAAGGAGTAATAATTAAGGGGTACCTTTGGTGAGGTACCCTAGGTTATTTTGCATGAAAATTAAGAATCTGAAATAATACTCTAACTTTTGCTTAAGGTTCAGAAGTTATTTGTAGATTCTTGCTAAAAATGTTTATTTCTAAATGTTTTTGGTTTATTTTTATGTTTTCTTTTGTGACTAGTAAAAATTAATGTGATGAGTAATAATGTCTCTTTTATAGTGATTACACTTATTTAAATATCAATGTTTTTATATGTACATGTGTAATAATGTCTCTAAATATTTAATATGCTATGGTCAGGTTGTCTCTGAATAGTAGCAGGCTGACAATGCTCCTCAAACCCCCTTGTTTGGGAGATTTGAGACTTTGGCCTATGTGGGGGGTTGTCTTAGAGCCGATCCCGCCCTGAAAGTGGAAAGATGACGGCCGTTGTGGAACTTTTCAAGCTAAAGAAAAGAGCTTAGAGGGGAAAAGAACAACTACACAGGGGAAAATGTGAGTTGAAGACTTGGATGCTGATGAAGCTTCCCTCTTGTCAAGGCTTTGGAGAGAGTTACACTAAGAATTAAAGAAAAGGTGTGGCTATTTCTGTGGGTAATCTTAGTATGAGATTTATTACTGATGTCTTGTACAAGTCACCTGTTGAGAGTGTGAGGATGTGGGGAATTATGGTAAGGATGAGGCTCTGGGGGATAATGGTTTCTGGGTTCAATCTCTTATTTTCTGGGGGAAAATCAATAATAATTACTTCTGGTAACTACTAGTAAATGATGTCTGCTAAGTAATTATCTGTTTACTTCTCTAATGCAAGCATGGGGAACAAAGTAAGTGGGAAAGGGTATTCTCTATATACATGTGGGTGGTTCTGATCAGGTACTAGTGGTAAGATATCAGCTGATGTAAGAAGATGGTATGAAATAAGTTGTATCTGAAAGACAATTGGTTATGAAATAAATGTGGCTGACAAATGTGTAGTGTGAAATAAACATGTTGAAAAGGAGAAAATATGAAGTAACTTCTGTTTGTGATAAAAATAATAAAAAAACTGAAATAAATATTCTGAGGTGAGATGAGAAATCTGTGTGGTGAAATATATATGTAGATGATATAAGCAATTAGTAATGAGTTGAAATGAGATGTATGATGAGAATGTAGGTGATATAAGCCATGTCATGTATTGAGTTTGAAATGGAATGTAAGAATGAAATACTTGTAGTATGAAATAAATGTAGAATCAAATAAATGTAGAATGAAGTAATTGATGTATGAAAAGAAGTGGATGATGATTGAGCTGAGATGACAATATCTGGATGACAAATCAGATGTATGGGATGAAACAGTATATGTAGTCTGAATAAGTGATATCTGAGATGAAATAAATAACATTTACTGAAAGATTATTATCATAGAAAGAAGGTACTGAGGGAAGACTAATTTGTATCTTGAGATGTGTGATATGTAGTATGTTGTAGCTATGTAGTACTATATATTATGTGTGAGCCTGGGTCTCAATAGTGACTGCAGGACACAAGGTATTGGGGGGCACTTTTAAATGTATTTCTCAAGATAAAGGAAATACAAGTATAAGTAGAAGAGAAGGAAGGAAGAGAAGGAAAAGAATAGAATAATCTTTTTGTTCTTTGTTTATTTTATGAAGAAGATTAAATTATGGCAGTCTTACTGTCCCTCTTGGATGGCTGCAGACAGTCTTACTTTCCTTAGTAGGATGGCTGTTATAAGCGGAGCTAACCCTGACACCTCCAAATCAACAGAAACTGAAATGGGTATTGACACTGATAAATCAGGTCAACCACAATTTTTTAGATCAAAGATCAAGGCTCTTTAAAGGGAAACCTATGTAGTTTTCAGTTGTACTACCAAACAGGAAGAGAAGAGATAATAGAAGCTAAGGCTTGCTTTCTTTGATCAGGGCTTTGGGTTGAGGAGGAATGAAGGGAAACTGAGAGAGACAGAGAAGAGAAACAAGCAGAAAGATGCTAGCTTAACTTATGAGAAGAGACTTACTAATGATACCAATGACACTGATTAGTGGGAAAGGTAGGAAAAGTGAGGTCCTTCTGGGTGATAAGTGTTTGCTTGATCTGGGTCTGGTTGTTGGTGTTCTGTGTTGGTCTGGAGTCTGAAAATCCTCTGGAAGCGGAATCAACAAGCTCAGAGAGGAATTTCAAAGTTGGATTAAGTAATCTGGCATGTACATGTGGTAGAGGGAGCTGAAACCTAAGGTTGGAATAATTCTTGGAGTACTGTGAATTATTACAAAGTCAATGAAGGAATGGAGTTGGGTAAAAGTGGTCAGTGGTGACTAGGGTTAATTTTACACCAGGAATCCATTTCTGAAGTCAGAAAGGTTAAAAGTCTTAAGATAAAAAAGATATGATAATATTTTGAATAGAAATGGGCAGTTTTGGCAGTCTTTTGGCCAACTTGGTTGGCTCTAAGGCTGACATTATGTAACCAAACTATGTGTAAAAAATAATATTTTATAACCTTCTGAACTGGATACAAGATAAAGGGTTATGTAGCATATGCATATCTGGTTGTAATAACATGAAAACTACTGTAAATAGCTATTTTGTACTATATATGACCTTGATTGGTCTCACCACACCGTCAAATACCTCAAGGTGGTAAGACGGCCAAGGAGATCGAGCCAGATGATTGAGGACCCCGTCCCTGCCGTGAGCCTTGTCTGCTGAGTGAGCTCCAGATTGAGAGAGATGTAGATTTGGCCCCAAATGTTGGGAAAATGATGAGACATTGGGCTGGTGTTGATGATCAATCTTCAAGATCTGGTAGAGGCCCAATTGTTGGTCTTGATCCTGGGGAGCCCCAGAATGGTTCAATGGTTGATGGATTGGGTTGGGTCATAGATTGCCTTGCTGGTTTTTTCTGGGTTGATGAACGTTGGAGGCAGCTTGGAAGTGATTAGTATTGGCTTAGTTGGGATGGTTTGGTCCGCCTTGTTGAGCGGCTTTAGTTTTGATCAAGATCTTATGCGGCCATTTGATCCCGGGGATTAATGCAGATTGTTGTGAGAGTGGATTGAGGACGGGGTTGGAGGTGAGATAGTTGATCTCCTGCAAACTCCTGTGAGTGAGATTAGAGCTGAAACAAAGAGATGGGTAAGTAGATGGTGACAAAAGTTTGGAAATGGGATATTTGGAATGAAGACAAACTGTCTGAGATAGTCTCTACTCCTAGCCCTTGCTTTAGGATACCTAGCGATCCCCATGGTTGTTGTCCCAAAGCCGATCTGGGCACCACCCATCATTGTTGCCATGCCAGCGCTTGTCATAGTGTTTGCCCAGGTATTCCCAGTTGGAAAATGTTTTGTGCCGTGACAGCAGGCAGAGGTGGAGCAATTGAGATTGAAGGTGTGGGGGCAGTTGAGCTTTGGGTAGGTAGATTTGTGGTTGGGTTAAATTGCGGGACTAAACCAGATTTAGTCCCCCAAACACAATTTGGGCCTTCCACCAGAGGTGCTAAATGCGGTTCCAACTTAGGAAAACCACCCCGGGGAGCTATAGGCAACCTAAATTTAGGACTATATAGGCACTTGACATCAAGTGCTTATCTGCCATATCACAGACAATCCATGTGATATTGCTTCCCCCCTGGACATACCTCGTCCTCATACAGACATCAACACTTCTCCTCAACACAATCGCACACCATCATGAACTCACAAAGCGATTGGGATGATGAAAGAATTGAAGATGAAAACCAATCAAATCAATTAACAGTTCTCTCAATTTGTGACTCGCCAACTCTCTTAGATTTTAACAACTGATCAATCAGATTGATTGAATGTTCTCTCTGTTTTTTACAACTTTGTCTCTCCTATCTCTGTATATCTCTTTCTCTTGACTGCCTCTTGACTGCGTCTTGCCTGACCCTTGAAACAACCAATCAATCAGTGAATCAATCGATTGATCAGGGAATCTTCCAATTGTGGGATCAATTTCCATGTTGATGTTGAATTGTGGAAGCTGAACCTTGCTTATGTTTTTTTTGTGATCAGACACAGCTGAGGTCTATGGGGAATCGGGGGACACAGGGGAAGGCCCTTTCACAAGGCCAGGTGCTATGTGTAGAACCTCCCTGTGTGGGAGGGTCTTTGCCAGGGGAGCTAAAAGTGCACCGCAGTTGTGAAAGGTGGAAATTTGGGGACTCAGGTAGTCCCCAACAGTGGTGATTGGCCTTTATTGGAAGCGTCAGGCACCGTGACTGCCGCCGGTGTGCAGTCTGCTGAGCTGGATTGGTAGAATAAATCAAATTGTATCAGCTTGATTGTTCCATAGAATCCATGAGATCTAATTAACAAAAAATAATGGTGACTTTTCACGTACGAGCTGTTGAAGCTGCGTTTTGTTCATCATACTTGTGACTATTGGCTTGTGCCAGGGATTTGGAACCTGAGGGGACTTTCTCAGCCATATTTAAAGCAGCCAATTTGCCGGGAGGTTGGGCTATAGGGAATGCGTTTGTGTTTTGCTGGTTTTGGTTATGTGAGAGATACTTGGACCTAAAAGAAAAGAAAATTATGGACTCAGATCAACAGTTTCTCTGTAATACCAGAAACAGAAGATGGTGATAGAAAAGAAAACTTACCATTCCATCTTGTGAGCCCATTAGCAGACATGTCGAGGAAGACGAGCTTGTAGGGTCAGTATAGGTAAGAACCCTATTCCTGGGTGATGAAGGAGAGAGGGACATCTGATGATTGATTTATATTGCATGAGAACCCCCTCATCAGGAGAGATTATAACATGCAATAGTTGAGATTAAGGGGAGAGGGACGTCTGATGATTTATTTATTGCATGAGAAACCCCCCATCAGGAGAGAGTATAATGTTCAATAATTGAGATGAGGTGAGTGCTGAAGTTTGAACTTCAGACTATCTGCGGTTTGTACAGCTGCCAGGCTGGATACCAGGGCAGCTTTGTAGTTGTTGGCACTAGTCCGGGGAATGAAAGGTGTATGGAAACCCGTGACAGTTGTGAGCAGCCAGAGCCCAGAGTTGTGAGCCGCAAGTGATATGGGATGATCCTGAAATTATACTTCATCAACCTCCATCTACTCTCACATGACATTGGATTGACAAAAACTCAACACTAATCTGAACCAACTCCAAAAACAAACAACCAATGGCAAAGCAAACAACAAATCAAAATCCCACCACGTCCAAAGCACCCACATCCAGAAAGCAAAAAACTGACCCTGAAGCAAGTTCTTCATCAGCCCCAGCCAAACCCAAGTCATTTCCCAGAAAAGGAGTGTGCAGGCCCATCCAATCCAGGTTTGCCATTCCTTACTCTGAACTTTGATTCCCCTGTCCAAAGGGGAAAAAATGCTAAAGTGAGACTTATTTCTACCCCTTCAATAGGGTCTAAACCAATTCCAGAAGGCACAGAGAATTGTCTGGCTGGATTGACGTTTTTCTTTATGGGTCAATTTGACTCCCTGAGTTGAGAAGATGCACAGAAGCTTGCCAAGAGATATGGAGGGTGTGTCTCATTTTCCTCTTACTCAAATGATTCAACCCTTTGCTAATATTTCTCATCTCAAAATATTCTTGCGATTTCATCCAGTCGTGTGACTACCAGTCCATCTTCAAAAACTAGTTTTTTTTTGTCCTGGGATCCGATGCTGAACCAAAGCAGTTAGAGATGATCAAGAATCACAAGTGAGGATGAATTTCTGAACTTGATGACTCGAAACCGTTTGCTAAACTTTCATATAAAAACAAAAAAAACTGGCTTCCAAAAATTGATATTTGTTTACTTTCTTGATTTTGTTGGCATGTCAGCTTGCTGCTATAGCAGAGACAACCTGTCATAGTACACAACTACTGTAGAAGATACAAAAAGATCTTATTATGAATAGTACTGGAAATGAATGTGAAGATGAAATAATAAAGGCATTATTTCTCAAGATTATTAATCTAGATGAAGAATAACCTAGGGTACCTCACTCAAAGTTACTCTATATTCTAACTCCTTCATGTAGTAAATCTACATTAAACAATTAGAGTGTACAGTGCCTAGACAGTGAAAAGTGGCTGCTTATTTTGGATTGCAGAGCTTCAAAAAACAAATTTGATATCATGAGACTTGGTCAGGTGGTGCATAATAGGTCCCGGAAAATGAATATGAAAAAATAAAAACAAAAAGTAAAGTTTCAAAATTTGTGAAAAATAAAAAATAAAAATGGTTTTTTCCAAAAGCTTTGATATCCATTTTGGGGGAGTGGGAGTTCTGAGAGAAATAAAGTGTCAGACACTGAGGCTGTAGCCCATGTGTCTACAACCTGTACTTAACCAACAAGCACATGTAATGTAGTGTATTGGTTAAGGACTGTGTTATGACTTTGCCTCACCAACACACTTGGGTTCAAATCTCAATTGTGTAATCTTATATTTGATGACTTCCCGTCGACATCTGCGGGTCTCCCAGTTTCAATATAGAGCCGCAAAAGCTAGATTTCCCTGGGAAATCTAGACTTTTCAGGTCTAAATCGCAAACTGCGAGGGTCCCAGATCCGACGGGAAGTCCTCCATTTTTATTATTATTTTATTTTTATACTTGTATGCTTTAAGTAATTCCACGGAATTACTTAAGTATTTACCTCTGTATTAATATTCATATATTATATACATATAGTCTGAAAGCTTAATCATCTCTCTATACACTTTAATTAGAGAGATGACATCATTCTTTCTCCTTTGAGCTTGAATGACATCATTTCCTCCACTTCTGGTTTAAATCTTAATTTAAATACATATTTTGATCATTTATGATTATATACACAAATGATCCTCTGCAGGCCTCACCGGTCTCACAGGCAGGTTGACCCCTGCCTTTGTAATACTTAAGGGGGAGGTCTTCTCCCCAAGAATCCTCCCCCCAGAGATTATTACCATACAACCTGTTTACCTTACTACAATTAGTGAGTGGGGTTTTTATTATAATCTATATTACTATTATCTATTATCCCTTTACTCCCCTCTATCCTATCTCAATCCTAGACTACAGTAAAGTCACTACTGTAGCCTAGAAGAGAGTTATTTAATACTCTAAGCCCGGCGCTGCAAAGACCTTACCACAAGCGTCCCCTACATTTTCAGGGAGCTTAACCCCTCCGCTTTCTAGCATCAAGGCAAGGTTTATTTTCCACTGGCTGCTAGTTAACACTAGCAATTATAGTGTGACCTTCACCCCATCAACACCAGGTCACATAAGAGACCGGCGCTGAAAATTGGGGGTCTGGCCGTGTTTTTTTCTCAAGACCGCCACTCCTGCTCTAGACTTCCTCACCATCTTAACTAACTTTCATTGTGCCTTTATCTCTCTGTTACAACCACAGATCAAGTCTCTCAACTAATACACAATACAACAACATCGATTGTCAGTCCTTCAATTTTGTATCGTGATTTTTTTCATTACTACACGTTGTCGAAGTTCATTAACCTAACTTTCTGAACTACACAATCACCTACCTGTTTGTCTTGCAGCGTACAGGTCCGACACCATTCTTCAATTTCGAACATAGGCTCATCTGAGGAAATCCGATCGAGGAAGCTGTTCCTTTGTACAACCTCCTGATTCACCTACCAACCAGCCAGTTAAGTCATCTTTGAATCTAGTCGTTTTTATTGTATCATCAATTCAGTTAAATTTTTCTTACGAATTGTACGTTGTCACAGTGTCGACTCAATCCACTCCGGCTGTTGACACGCTAAACGCCGATCAAGTTGCTAAGTCGTCTGCAACCTCCATCACGTCTTATTCCGGAGTCACTCCCACATCATCTAAGAAGTTGTTGTCCAAGTCGGCGAAAACCTCCGCTAAGAAGAAGATCAAAAGTCCTGAAGTTGTTCCTTCCGATTGGGACAGCAGCAACGAAGTAGAATCCACGTCGGACAAACCGAGATCGAAGACTTCTATCGCTTCTAAACCTAAGAAATTGTCAGCCACAGAGCACCTTTCACAGTACGTGAAATGTACCTAGTAACTGCAATAATAATAACTAATTGAATAATGGAGAATATTATACATTGTTGTTGAAATAATAACTAAATAAATATGTATTTACATTTAATCTTAATTCATAATTTATATTTAATAATTCTATAATTAACTGTGAAATCCCCTTGAGTATTATACATATAATATCACTAGAATTTCACAGAAATATCATTAGAATAAAGTATTAAAACAATGTTTATTCTTATACATTATGTACATATTTTATAATCCATAAATAATTACATATGTATAAAGAATCAGCTAGTAGAAGCGTGAAATGGATGAGGAATAAGCTATATCAACGGTGCAACCATTACGAGACACGTACTCGTAATGGCCCGTATCGTACTTTCAAAGTTCGCAATTACACGGAATCGTATCGTACTCATTCTTGAGTACGATACGATGTATTTTTACATAAGCGTACTTCCCCAATAATACGATACACCGTACTTGTAAGATTATGTACTTGGGAAAAGTACGATACGTGACTGATACAGATACGTAACTAGCTGTAATTCCATGTACTCCTTTTTCATTTTTGTTTAATTTTTTTCAATTTTTTTTGTATTTTTTTCAATTTTTTTTCTAATTTTTTTCTAATTTTTTTCCCAATTTTTTTCCAAATTTTTTTCCCAATTTTTTTCCCAATTTTTTTCCCAATTTTTTTCCCGATTTTTTTCCCGATTTTTTTTCTCAATTTTTTTTTCTCAATTTTTTTTCTCAATTTTTTTCTCGCCTTTTTGTTCTCAATATTCTGTTCTCACCTGTTTTTTGGGTCAGGCTAGGAGATTGAACAAGCTGGTTCACTCCAAACCATTTGGAATGAAGTGTTTTGTACTACAAAATCTGGGCCAAGTTTGTTGGTGTCATATGGAAGCATGTTATGTGTGAAATCAACTCAAATTCTATCAAATTTTGTGGGTATTTCACACATTATGCTGCTACAGTACACTGCTACATTGTGCAAACAAATGGGGCCCTAGTGTTTTTTGGAGTGTTCAACCTTGCACTCCAATTTTTTTGGAGTGTAAAAATGATGCACTCCATTAATATTCAAATACCAAACACTTCCAAGGTTTTTGTCAGCCTTAGAGCAAGCCAAGCTGTCCAAAAGACTGCTTAATTAAGCCCTCCTTTTCACTCAAGTTCACACTGTAATTTTTTCATCTTAATCTTTTATTTAATTCTGACCTCAGAAGTTGATTCCTCTGCTGCATTTAAATTATTAACCACTACCCACTTTTACAATATTCTCCTCCTTCAAAGACTTTGCAATATTTCACCGTACCTTGTGAAATATCAACCAAGTTAGAATTCTAACTCTCTCTACCACATGTACATGTTTTGATTATGTAATCCAGCCATGAAAATTATCTCAGTTGATACTGAGTTTGCATTTTCAGGATCTTCAAGGTTCAGACCCACCCAGAAGGTTCACTCCAAAAAGATTTCCCCTTCTCACAACATTTCTCCACAGTTTTTGTGTATTCAAAATGAGTTAAATTCCAGCTAATCCACTCTTATATTTCTGAAGTGAACACCTGGGCCCTGTGTACTCCAAAACCTTGGGAGTGGATGGGATGTCAGTTCATATGTAGTTGTTCCTGGAGCATTGTTGGAGTGAATTGCCTGTGCACTCCACAAATGATTGGAGTGCATCATTTTTACATTTCTAAATAAATTGAATTTCAAGGTTAAACACTCCAATAAACACTAGGACCCCATTTGTTAGCACAAGACAGCAGCATAAGGTGTGGAATACTTGCAAAATTTGATAGAAATTGAATGGATTTCACACATATTATGCTTCAAAATGGCCTAGACTTCGGAGTATGAAACACTACACTTCTAGTTCAATCCATTTTTGGAGTGCATGTAGTAAAAACTAGGAGTGCCTTTAGCCTGACCCAAAATAAAAGTGAAAAAATGAGAATGAAAAAAAATAAAATAAAATGAGAAAAAATGAGAAAAAATTGGAAAAAAAAAGAAGAAAAAAATTGAAAAAAGAAGAAAAAAATTGAAAAAAAGAAAAAAAAAGAGGAAAAAATGAGAAAAAAAATGAGAAAAAAATTAGAAAAAAATGAAAAAAATGAGAAAAAAATGAGAAAAAAATGAGAAAAAAATGAGAAAAAAATGAGAAAAAAACACAAAAAAGCATTGAGAAATGCAGTAATAGTGGTGAAACCCATCCCCATAATCATACAAAACTAAAAAATGTTGAAATTCTGTAATCAAGTGTGTTCTAAATATCAGCACATCAGGCAGGGACTTGGTGGCCTAGTTGGTAAAGGCAGCACTTCTAGTATAGTGTCTTAGCTTCAAGCTAAGGTTGCTGGTTCAAATCCTGCCCAAGTCAGTTTTTTCTGCTAACTGTCTGCAAAATGCATTGTTAATTTTAACAAAAAATGCAATTTAAGGCAGCGGGGAGAAAATACACTGAGTACGCTGAATACCGTACTCGTATCGTCCCAAATTCTGAGACGATACGGGCGTATTTTAAATTGTGTACTCGCCGGCCGAGTACAATGTACTTGTATCGTACTTGTGGACTAGGGTGATACGACGTACTCGAGTACACACGTACTCAAAACAAAGTACAGTACAATGTAATGCGAGTACAATACGTGTATCGTAATGGTTGCACCGTTGGCTATATACATTTATCTGAAGCTTACCCATCCTTGATCACATCATCAGGGAATCAGATTGCATCATAACCCTCTTAGATGGCGTCATCAGCACCCTTTTGTGCTCTAATTCAAAGCTTGCATAATTCAAAGTAGCCTACACGGGAAAAGAGCCCAAATTCTACATGCAAGACTGAATTATACATGAAGGACATGAATTTCTCATGATCACAAGCTTGCATAAGCAGAGTTACACGTATGCAACCAACTCTACAATTGGACAGCCCCTGCACAGTAACTGTAGCATTTTCAATTACATGAGAAATAGGCCACAAAACTCAATTATGCATGTATGATCTCATGTCCTAGGACCTTCCACCCATGAATAGCACTGCACAGCTGCAGCTCCCATCTTTACACGAAATTGTAGAGCTGCTAAGAAGCTCCCTAGTGCCCTGAGGGCCTCTCCTCTTCCCCTGAGCCCCCTGTAGAATATTTAAGGAGCTCAGATTCCTACCTTTCCCCCCCAGGAAATTCTAGTAGCATCAAACCAACACTTGTACCGTGATTATTAGTGATTCAACCCACCAATAACATTACAATCCAGCTACCTTAGACCTAAATAGATTTACTTTGCTCAGATTCAAGGCATTTCTACTTATCTCTATTGCATAAAGAATTATCCCCCTGGTTAAACAATTCTGGTCCTTAAGTGTACATACACTTATTCATCTGGATTGTTGTTAAAAGACTTGATCCCAAGTGAGTAGAAGAATTCCTCACATTGGAAGCCTATTAATCCACGTAACAGGATTGATCTGGATGCCCAATTGAATAATTGGATGAGTCAGCAGTAGAAGTACCATTCCTCACTGACTCCTCCCTGTTTCTTCTACAGGTTGAGGGATTATTACCACGAATAAACCATCACTTTTACACTTCTTGTTAACACTCATAGCACAACCACTCAGGTTAGTAGCATAGAGGCTGACAGAAATCGTCCGCCGGTTCAGATCCTTTCAAGAGTAACGAATCCATTGCCAAACTCACCGATAAGGAACTCTTGAATAGCATACAGATCAAGAAAACAGTAATCAATCAGGCTACAGTAACTGCTAATGATCCAACCGAACCGACTACTTCTGAGACTCAAGTCGATACAGGATTGAATCAATCTTCTCAACTGATCAATCCTAGTTTGGTTGTATTAACCGACGTCCAGCCAATCCAATCTTTTCCAAAGATCTCAGGAGACGCAGCAGTTCAAAAGAAAATCAAGAACTACTTTGTTCCTCAACGAAGAACAGTTTGATCAGAGTCTACAACCTCCTCCGCTCAACCAAGCCTATTGTTCACTACTGAACCTTACGAGCCGGCAAGCAAGAGCGATTTGGACATTATCACTGGTTCGTCTATCTGGCAGAATTCCATTAGAATTTTTTTTTTCTTATTCTAACATTGAGATTTCTTTCACACAATCATGTCTACCAGGAACCACCGCCCAGCTCTGGTCGAAGCCCAAGATCTCAAAGGGGCGCCTCGGGGACGATATTCTAGCAAAGTATCCTCGGCCTCTTCATCTGCTTCTACAGTCGGTGAAGTTGTACCAGGAATATTACTGTCAAGCAAAGGAGAAGAACGACGAGGACATGAAGGTTGTTGCGATCTCCAAAGCGTCGGAGCTGCAGGATGATCTATTGGACAAGATCAACAATCAGGATTTCAAGGATCTGTTTGGAAGCTGGGATCCGAAAGCAGAATGCGAGGAGTACCTCACGGGACCGACGGGTGGCAAGTACAAGAGAGGCAAGGATATTCCAGTGACCCCAACTCCAGACCCGGAGATGCAGGTTGATCCTCCGGCCAAAGTACCACCCCTCCACCAAGGGAGGAGTCAGCAGTACCAGCAAGGGTATTACAACCAGCAGGGGTACCCGTACCTGCAAAGCTATCAACAGCAGCCCCAAGCGAGTCAGTACTTCAACCCAGCGAGTCCCTACTACCCTCAACTGGTAGCGAATACCTCTCCAGATCCGTACCTTCATGTACTGACCAGCAAAGTCCCTCCAAACAGGACCAACCAAAATCGCAATCGCAATCGCAACACCAACCGTCGCAATCAAGCGCACAGAGCGCCAAACAATTTCCGACCGATGAGCGCGAACGGTACTCCCCAATGTACAAATTCTCAAACAGCCAGAGAGAATTGCCGCGTAGCTTACCAAAGGTTGATTCATCAAGAGATGATCCTGTTGTTGTTGGGGGTTTGATTTGAGGGAATTTTATTTGATGAGTCTCTAATATAATAGAGTGGAAAGGGTACAAAGGTATTGGTGGTAGTTGTTGTGAGTGTGTGTGAGTGTGTGTGTGTGTGTGTGTTGGTAAGTGGTTAAGATAAGATGATAAAGTGAATAGATACAAGTGGGAGAAAAAGGTGAAAGTATTTATACAAGAATATTGCTGCTAAGAAATTGGTCTCAGCAGACTGCTTTCTTGTGGAGAAAGCTCCATGAGAAATTTTATCCAGGAGAAAAGTACTGTTGTACTTTCTTCTGGGGAAAGTAATCTTTTTGCTTTCAAAGGATGAAAGTAAAGAATTACTTTTTCTTTTTAAAGGGAATGCTCCAGTCCTCTGGTGCATTACTTCTTTTATTGCTTTCTGATACACCATGCTCAGCAGGTGTGGCAGCAGGCACATCACTGCTGATGCCATTGCTGCTTGTATTCCCTTCTACAGGGATTACACCTTCAACAGATCCGACTCAGTCGCACAACCCAAGCGCAGTGCCAAGCCTTGGAGGCGATGCACGAGCAGAGTGCAGGATACGGGAATCATCATCAACCCCAAGAGGGAGGGGCGAGTCAAAACTACTAACTGCAGAACAGTTAGTCCCTCTCCTACAGAATCTTTTCTACTCTATTGAGAAAATTATTGACTGTAATTTTGCTGCTGTCTCTAAGCAGATCAGGTCAGAATCCTCCATAGATGTTAAAAATCTGTTTATTCATAAATTTGACTCCATAGAGCTTAGACTTGTTTTTACAGAACTTTGGAGACAAATTGTCATCCAGTGAATTTGGTAAAATTCCCTACAGCAATCAACCAAATGGAACAGTCCAGGATTTGTTCCCTTCTTCCTCTTCTTTGAATATCAAGATTGACAAAGGCAAACAACCAGAGGAATGTCATGATGCCTTTAAGCCCTCTTTGTCTGTCAGCAATGACAATCAAATCTCAGGTAATAATATTTGTTCTTGTCATGCAAAAATTTCAGAATTGAAATTTGAGCATGAATTACTTAAAGAAGTAAATGATAAGTTGGACTATCTTATTGAATTGGGAAATCAACTTGTCTCTGATATTAATTCCAAATTATTAGTGATGGAAAGCAACAATGAGAAGAGATTTAATGCTCTGTTAGAAAAAATTGGTGAGATGAAATCAGCCCCTAGAGTTCCAACTTCATATCCCATCCCTTCTAGAAATGAACCAAATTTCTCCACATATAGAGATAAGGTTCCCTCTGCTTCTCCAGAAGTGAAACCACATCAGACTGTCTCTTTGAATAATAATCAGGAATTTTTCAAAATTCACTGATCCTGACCCAGGCAAACTTAGTGAATTTTTTGATATTCCAGAGGTTCAACCCAAAGAAATCTCTGTAGCGCCAATCCAAATTTCCCCTGAGTCAAGTAAAGTCATTCTACAAGGTCTGAAAAAAATGGAAGCCTGGCCTGTATTTTCAGGTGATGGAGAATATAACCATGTGGACTTTATTAAAACTATTGAAACAATTCAGGAAGATGCCAGGATTGAAGACATTGTTATTACCTCGAGACTGAAGTGTATGTTTACAGGTTCAGCCCGCCCCTGGTTTTCTACTGTAAGGGATATGGTTGGTGATCAATCCTGGTTTTTTTGGAAACAGGCAATCAACAAAAAGTTTGGTACCTCATCTTGGAGAAGGAAATTGTTGAACATTTACTTGAAAGATAAGTTCATCCCAGGTAGTACCCCAGCAGGAAATTGGGTTACTAGGCAGTACAAGAGGATTATGGCTTGTGAGCCTCATGAGAGTTTAATGTTTAAATTGTTGACACAGATGGATGGAGAAGTGAGCTTTGCTGCCCAGAATGCTATGAAAGGTAATCAGACTCTAACCTCCTTAATTAATGTGTTGGAAGACATCACTGACTACACTAGTATAGGTAAGAGAAGAACTCCTTACGGACAGAGTAACAAGAGTTATGCGTCCAGCAGTACTACTGACAAAGTTACTAATCCACTGTCTAAGTCTAACCAAGATGTTAAGTGCTATTCTTGTGAAAAGATGGGTCATACTTCCAGGAATTGCCCCAAAAATTCTAAAAAATTAAACGTCATTAATGAAGAAGATTGCAAAGAAGATTCAGGTATGAATTCTGAAAGTGACTTAGAACTGGAGGATGATTCACCTGGAATTATCTGTGTAGAATCCAATATATTAGATTCCTTGATTACTTCTATTGCAGGAAGCAACAAAGTAGTGGCCATGAAATGCGCAGGGAGAAACTGTAAAGTAATTTTGGATTCTGGTGCTTTCAAATCAGTAGTGGGTCAACAATATTTGTCTAAATATTGCCCGCATTGGAAAAAATTTGTGAGAGGTCAATCCAAAGATAAATTTCATAGCTGTTCGGACAAATTGTCCACTTTAGGTATTGTCAGAGTTAACCTAAAGTTTCAAGACCACTCCTTTGTGATTGACTTTATAGTAATTGAGAATGCAGTTGTTAATTATTTTATTATTGGCAATGATTACTTAAGTCATTTCAAAATTTCCATCATGAATGATGCAGGTAGTTACTTTAAGATTGGGGACAGTAATGACAAGTACTACTTTCATCAGGAGAAGTCTCCCACAGTAGCTATCACTTTACCTGAACAAGCTTGTTTTGACAAAGAAGTGCAAGAAAGCTGCAAAATTAGTCCTTCTTTTTCCTCTACACAGAAAGATCAACTTCTTCAATTGCTCTTTGTTAACAGGAAGGCCTTTGCTACTGTAGAAGAACCATTTGGAGCCATTAAGGGACATGAGGTCCAATTGACTTTGAATATTGATAAACCTTACCCTCCAGCTCTGAGAAAAGCACCTTACCCTGCTAGCGCCAGAAGCAGAGAGGCCTTAGAAGAACATATTCAAGCCTTGTTAAAACTTAAAGTCATTAGAAAAGTAGGTGCAAATGAGAATGTAGACATCACTACTCCGGTTATTATAGCTTGGCATAATAATAAGTCCAGATTAGTGGGTGACTTTAGAGCTCTTAACAGCCACACCAACCCAGATAGGTATCCTATGCCCAAAATTATGGAGTCTTTGAGTAAATTACATAAAGCTAAGTACATTACGTGCATGGATGTCCTTAAGGGCTTTCATCAAAATGTGATTCACAAGGACAGTAGACAATTCCTCAGGATTGTTTGTCACTTAGGTATTTTTGAGTACCTAATTAGGATGCCTTTTGGTATCAAAAATGCCCCTTCACATTTTCAGCGTATGATGGACACCGAATTTTCACACGAGTTGAATCAACTCTGGCTTATTATATACATAGATGAGATTATAATTTTTTCAGATAACTGGGAAGACCATTTGTCACGCTTGGAAATTATTCTTCAGAAAATTATCAAGATGAATATGAAAATATCTTTGTCAAAATGCCAGTTTGGTTTTCAAGAACTCAAAGCTTTAGGTCATATTGTTAATGGTCTATCCTTAGGAATATATAAGCATAGAGTTGATGCAGTCTTACTCAAGCCCACACCCCAAAATACAAAAGAAATGCAGATGTTCCTTGGTTTTGCGGGTTACTACAGACTGTACATCAAAGACTTTGGGGCTATGGCTTCAAGTCTTTACAAATTATGTAGTCCTAATGTAGTCTTTGAAATGACAGCAGAAAGAGTACAAGCTTATGAATCCATTAAGTTTGCCTTGACTAATGCACCTCTGTTGTTTCATCCTGACCCGAAAGAAAGATTTAAACTTTATGTTGACGCTTGTATGGAAGGGATAGGAGCTGCCTTACATCAAGTACAAATAATGGATGATAAACCTATGGAGGGTCCCATCTGTTTTATCTCACGACAGCTCAAGGAATCTGAAAAGAAATATGGAGCTTCTCAGCTAGAATGCCTTTGTTTAGTTTGGGCACTGGATAAACTTTATTATTATCTTGATGGATGTGAGTTTGATGTGATCACAGATTGCAATGCTTTAAGATCTTTGTTAAATATGAAGACACCCAACAGGCACATGCTTAGGTGGCAAATTGCAATCCAAGAATGGAGAGGATCTATGATGATTGTTCATAGGGAAGGTATTATCCATAAGAATGCAGATGGCCTTTCAAGGTGGGCTCTTCCCAATAATCCAGATAATCTTGCCTACGATGCAGAAGATGCAGAGACTGGAACTCCGGTTACTTCTATTTTGCCATCTCCAATGAGGATGTCTGAATGTCTAGCTCACTGGGCTTTGCCTAATGACGAAAACAACCCAGCCTTTGAGAAAGAATACTTTGTTGACAGCAATCCTATTATGGCTATTTCAGTATCAGGCTTGTCTTCTTCATTCTGGGAACTGATTGAGAAGAGTTATGACTCTAACAGTAACACGGTGATTCTTAAGAAATTGCTTAAGTCACCATATGCAGACAAAGGTCTTATAGAAGGATTGGAAGGTGTTTGGAAAAAACACTCTTTAGAAGACAGGTTTGTCATGCTAGATGGGTTACTATATCACAGACGTGAACATAACTCATCAGTGGTTTTGCTAGATACTAGCCACATAGGTATTATTTTGAATGAGTGTCATGAAAGTGTTGGAATGTAATTCCTGGTCTTTGCCCTCAAAAGAGGAGAGTATCAGGTTAGTTTATCACACGCCTGATAAACTTCCTGAAAAACAATAATAATCATTGCGCTGATCAACTATTTGTGATCATTTGCAGAAATAAGCTGTTAAATAAATGAA